TATTATTAACTTTAATTTAAACATAGGGTAAAATCATATTTTTATTACTTATACTAGCTTCAAGTAAAAAATATTTGTACTTAATTTATAAGAATATTTATACTTAAAACTCTTATTTTTCGATTAACATAATAGTTTTGATTTATTTAATTAGATATATTTGTGTTATGTGTGAATTTGTATGACTTAATTAGTTTTAAATTTAAAATTATAAATTTAAATTATTTAATTATGAATTTAAGTTATTTTTTATTTAAAAAATATTAAAATCTAATTTGATCATAGAAGTATAATTGGGGTCTAACTTGAATTGGGTTGATCTTTCAATTTGAGTTGACCTAACCATTATGAATAGGTACGACTCAGCCCATGTGACTAGGGATGACCCAACCCAAGTAGCCAGTCATGATTCAGCCCATGTGACCCTGTACGACCTAGCCCATGTGGCAAGGTACAACTCAACCTATGTGACTAGGCATGATTTAGCTCATATGGCCAGGTACAACTCAACCCATGTGGTTATGCATGACCTAGCTCATGTGGTCATCCATAACCCAACTCATATGGCAATATATGATATGACTCAACACATTGTAAAGCACGGTCCAACTAATTCTTCACTCATGCGACCAAGTACGATCCAATCCATACGGTCTGACATAACCCCAACTCATGTGTGAAGGCATGACCTAGGGTTTTATACCTGACAACATATATTAAGTTGTACTTGGCCATAGGCTAATTTAGTCAATCAATTTAGCTTAAGTCAAACTTTAATTTGACCCGTCTTATTAAATTAGATTTTTAATATTTTAAAATATTATAAAAATAATAATTAATTTAAAATCTATTTTTTCATGAATTAACTAATTTAGATTCATAATTCTAAATTTAAAACTAATTAAATAAAAAAAATTCACACATAATTTCTTAAAACATAAATAAGTCAAATTAAATAAATTAAAACTATTATTAAATTAACTTATTATTCTAACATCATAATTTATTAATTATAAAATTTTAAATTTTAAATATTATATTGCATCATATAAATTATAATAATTCTAATATCAAATATTTTTAAATAAAAATAAAAATTAGTAAGAAAAGAATAGAAGAACGTATCACTCCTTGAGGATCCTTTATTTGGAGAATCCTTTTTTTACTCCTCCCACTACAAGGCTAACGAGGAATGCGGAAGAGGGGGCTCCTTTATATAAAAGAATATACATTTTCTTAGGTAAATAATAATTTATTTTTATTATTTATTTAATTATTATTTTACTTTCATATAAAAAGATATAATTGTAATATTTATTTTTTATAGTTCATATTCTAAAATGAAATTTGAAATATTTATTTACCAAAATCACATCACTCATTAGAAAACAAATTAATTAATAATTTATTTAATTAATAAAATTCTTAACTTGTTCACATGAATAAGAAAATCAATTTTAAATATTTTCTTAACTATACTACACAAAAAAGAAAATTAATAGTATAAATAAAGCAACACATTATTTATGATAATAATTCATGTTAAGGGAGAAAATTCATTCTTGATTACATTTTAATTTTTAGATTATTTAATTGATTGACTATATTTTAACTTTCCCACACCATTAAGGTAACCAATTTTAATTATTTCCTTAATTATAATGCACAAAAAAATAAACAATTCAAATAAAGTAGAGCATTAACTATGTGAATTTGATGTACGGGGAGAAGTTATTACATTCATCCCTACCTAAAAAATTTGATAAGAAAATGATATGAATTCAACTTAGTTCATAGTTGAAATACCGAGTCAAAAGATAAGTTAGAAAATATTTAGATGCAGATCTACCTCTAGTTAAGTTTATTTTTTCCACTTTTTGTTGCATAATATCTAAATAACTTGGGCAAACTCAATTCAATAAATTTGATTTTTGATAACCCAAGTAAAATGGTAATTGACAGCATATAAAAAATTAATTAATTTTTATAAAATATATATTCAATAAATTATTATAATATTTAAAATTCAAAAATATATTGTTTGTTGACATAAGATAAAATTTGGTGCTACATGTATACTACTCAACAAACCAAAACAGTTGAAAAGAAGATAATCCATCAAATTATTCAATATACATATTTTTTAATAATTCTAAAATAATTCATATATTACATGTGTCAAAATAATTAACATTATATTTAATCCTCATTAGATCTCATGGCATTCGACAAATAATATCATTGACAATAATAGCATATATATTATTAATGTCAAGAATGATAACTTTAATTATACAATGTATACAGGTCAATTCTATTCCCGACTTCAAAAATAATATTCGACATCAAGAATAAA